CTTTTCTTTTCTTTGAGGCTAAGGTGTTTAATAAAAAGAAATTCACGGAAGCATCCCTTTGAAAAAAATGTTGGATGCAAGAACTATAATTGGAAAGGTCATTATAAGTTAAGCTTCCCATGTCATTTTCCAGGGATCGAAGCTTCACACATCCTCATTGGAAAGCTCATTAAAATTTTAAAAGGTGAAATCGGGAATCGAAGCGTTTTTTCTAAGTGAGGCGAGGCATAAGCCTCGAGGCGGATCGAGGCGTAAGCCTCAAAATGATTAAAATAAATTAATTTAAAATTATAAATAATGACAAAAAATAATAAAATATTACGTCAACTATGAAAATAAATATTAACATTAAAATTATAAATACACAAACTATAAACATACCAGGTCGTGTTTTGTAGCATGCTTGTGCTGCTCTAAATCAAAACATTCCCTTCTTCAAATGAAAATCATTAAGTTGATCATTCACTTTGAGGTAGTCTTCTTCAGAAATGAGTCTGTCCATATATGCATACAAACCAATTTTCACCTCTTTGTCAACATGAAAATCCTTATCACAATGAAATTGGGAGTTTAAATAGTACTCAACAACATGTAAGTGTTGGTGTAATTGTCGATCCCACTTTTCATCTATAATACCACATATTTCTTTGTAGGCACTTTCTTGACCTCCCAATTCTTTTGCAATGTCTTCTTTAGCTCTATCCATTGCTTCCAGTACTAGAACCTTCATGCTGTGATCCATAGTAACAAGAGTTTCCTATCATCTCTTCCATATTTCTTTGTGTGACCTCCTTTGTGGTGGCAAACTTCTTTAAATAATCTGTACATTCCTTTTTCACCTCAATAGGTACTTTTGTATATGGTCCCACATTGACATGAGTGCAGGCTAGATGATTCTTCAACCTCTTGAAGCCACCAGTTATGTGTTTCTCACAGAAATTACATTTCATGTAAACATATCCCTTATTTGCACCTTCGCCTGACACTTCAACTTGAGTTTCATATTTCCATGTAGGATCTTTCCTTCTTGTGCCAGTAGTTATGCTAATAATTTATAGAAATATTAAATAATCAACATAAAAAATCAACAATAGGACAACATGAATACAATAATATACAGGTCAGTCGGGGGTCCAAGGGGGCGTTGCCCCCTGGCGGAACAAAATTTTATTGTTAGAGTAATTTTGAAATTCTGCTTGTTTTTAAAGTTCGTAAATTATTTGTATGGAAAGATATCGAGCGGTACCGAGCATGTACCTAACAGTACTGAGCATGTATCGGTCGGTACCGAGCGATACTGGCTCGATACCGAGCATGTACCTAGTGGTACCGAGCATGTACCGCTCAGCACCGAGCATATACTTGCTCGGTACTGGCTCGGTAACGAGCATGTACCGCTCAGTACCGAGCATATACTTGCTCGGTACCGACCAGTACCTAGCGATATCTAGCAGTATCAAGCATATACTGAGCGGACGAATGAAAGGAAGTCGAATCAGGAGTTATTCAAGCTTTCGTTACTGCACGTCAAAGTCAAGGCCCACAACACCGCTCACCTGGTCTTCCAACCTAATCAAAGCCTGAACGTTTCCTGCACTCACAACTTCTACTTCGTTTCCTACTTTCAAAACCGTTATTGATTTCTGCTTCATTTCCTGCGTCGTCTCCTTCCGACTTCGTCTCCTACACTCACGGCTTCGTCTCCTTCTCCCACGGCTTCGTCTCTTTCCCTCACGGCTTCGCCTCCAGTTCTCCTTTCAATTCTCACAGGAAGCCCTAATCCTATACGCGAACACAAATCGGCTGCATCGTATTTACATATATACCGAAGAAAAAATTTTGATGTAGTGCCTCATACTGCCTCGAGGCATTACGCTCTGATGTGTACGCCTCGTGCGAAAAAATCATAAGCTTCGCTGGATGGTTCAAGGCGTAAGCCCCGATACGCATGACTTCCGCCTCGACTTGAGGCGCGACTCAATGCGGACGCCTCGTCTGCTTTTTTAATGGTTGTCGCACTTCATATTGTCTATCTTGAATACTCTCAAATTGTGTTGGGGCTGTTAGCAATTAGTATTTAGTTTCAATCTCTGTAATTTGAAAATATAGTTGTATACATGGATACATCTGATAATTCTTATTGATTAAGGCATCATTCTGGACGGCTTTCTTATCACTTATTAAACCAGCTTTCTATTATAAAAAATAATTTTTTTGTATTAGAAAGCTGCTTTAAGAAGCAATAAGAAAACTGTCCTAACCGAAGCCTAAGAATGAAGTAGCAATTTAATAAATTGGCTTTCATTGCTTTTATTGATGCCAACAGCCAACCTAATCTCTTCTCACGTGCATTGAATTGCAATGGACAGGGCAGATCCGACAAAGAAAAGAAGGGTTGAACGATCTCGCAAGTATGTGTGCCAAAACTTGTATACAAGATTTGTCTTATATTTTTTATGTAGGTACAATGAATGGAGTTAAACAACATAATTGGAGTGCATTATGCTTTCTGATTCTCTTATCAAATGTATGGCTAAACAAGATGCAAATATAGTAAAAAAAGAGGTAGCTCTGACTTGAAAATTCTTTCACCAACCATTTTATTTACTTTAATCATGAAAAGGGGATGCCTTGACCTTTCAAGTTTGTTGGCTTAAGATGTGGAATGAACTGTATTTTTTAATTGTTGTGAAGTTTCTACTCTAGGCAATGCCCCATTGTATTTTTTGGTTAAGCAGTATTTAGTGTGCCTTAAGGAGTTATTTGGTAATACTGAGCTGCAGGCAGGACAATTTCCCTAGATTGTTCTTTGACAAGCTAAAAACTACCACAGTGTAACAATAATTTATTGTTCAGTTCCATAGTTGAAGTTGTATCTGATGGGATGAATGATCCTTTTCTTGGATGTCTTAACTTCTACCTCCTTTTTGAACTGTAAAGTTTGTTGTTCGTTCCTATCTTTTTACTTGTACGTGAAATGTCTTGTTATTCTGTAACATTGCCATCTTTGTACTTAAATGATTGTAAGTTCTAGGTTTCCTTCTTTGGTAATTGCATTCTTCCTTAGTTGCAGAATGTAAAATACTGCTATTTCTCTTGATGTTTTAGGATGGCCAAGGCGAAGGAACGGAATTATGCACCATCGGTACCTTCAAATATGCATGCGGTTCTGAAGCAATTTGATACTCTAGAGAAGGAAGTGCGGTCTCTCAAATTAAATATTTCTTTCATGAACAGGTAATAGCATTTGTTGTACATGTACTTAAATTGATCATCATTCACCACATCGCAGACAGGAACATGTCTTTGTGTACTACCCTTTGTACTCAATTTATCTTAGGCTTCATTTGGGACGGCTTTATTAATGCTTCTTAAAGTGGCCTTCTAGTTAAAAATTTAAATTTTTGTACTGGAAAGCAACTTTAAGAAGTAGGGAAGGAAGCAATCCCAAACGAAGCCTTAGCATCTTACTCCAGTCATTAAACAAAAACAATTCCGCAATTTTGACCGACCACACACTTGTTTTGTAACTCATTCTTTCTATAAATTAATACAAGACTTTGACTGTATTTCCTCTATATAGTAATAGAAGGCTTCTAATCATGAGGACATGGACTCTATCCATACTCCTCACATTGTTGCTCATTTCTTGAAAAAAATGGGATTGCATTTTATTTGACTCTTGTATTAAAGATTTAGGCTTCGTTTGGTGCTGCTTTCTACTTCTTAAAACATTTTTTTAATACAAAAATTATAATTCATTTAATTTTTTACTAAAAAATTATTTTAAAAATCAATAAGAAAACCTTCCCAAACAAAACCTTATTCCCTTATTCACTTTGGTTCCTTTCTATAATTTCTAGCTGACTTTTTCTTTCTATATTTTCTAACCAACCTGTTGCCTACTTTACAAAATTTTTGAGAATGATTTATATAATTTAAATAAAAATGTGATGGCAAGTGCTTGCTACTTGCAAATTAATTCGTTGAGCACTAATCAACAAATTCTTGACCAAATGGCAGGAAGGATTCTGAACAAACCAAACAAATAGAAACAAAACGATGAATTGGTGAATGAAAAGGAGCGAGTCTCAGAAGAAATTGAGCGTATCATCTCTGATTCTGACAAGATGTGAGATAATGTTCATCTTGCACAGAACACTATTCAGCCCTCATCATTTGACTGGTTACATGGCAATTGTGGACACTACATTCTATGATTAAAAAATTTTCTTTGCTCGATGATCTCATGATATGGATCGTCTCAATATGATAATGGTTGAAACAATCACTAATATAGGTTAAATGCATCCAACAAATGCACAAGAAATACAAAATAGCTGCTAAAGGTGAATGGCAATAGTGAATTTGCATTTGCTACTGAGCAAGGTCTTCTCAGTGACCACATAACTAGTTTATTTCCATTTATGCAAAAAATATATCATGTTTAAGGGTAGACTCAATTTATGAGATTCTGGATATTACAAGCTTTGGAAATAAGTTATGACTAGTAAAGTTACCATTACTATCTATAGAAAATATGCTCATGATTCAAATAAGTCATTTTTTATGAAACAATAGAGATGCTTGATTAGAAGATCTGGGATCAATTCAATTGCATAAGAGTTTGCTCCAAACCCTAATTAGGAAATAAATGTCTGATTATAAGATCTGTGATCAATTCAATTGCCTAAAGATTTGCTCAAAACCCTAATTAAGATTTAATTCACGAATTAACCTCCCTTAAATTCTTGTCGGGCTAAAGAAGATTGAAATTCAATTTCACATGTGAAACGAAAATATAGAGGGTTTTGAATGTTTCACTTTAACCTTTGCATTTCTAAATTTTTGCTTCTTTATTTTTTACACAATTTGTAGTGAGTGAAATCTCCAAATCGCTATCAATTTTTGAATTGATCCAAAATATAAAGCGTGCAAAATATGTTTTGAAAGAGAAGAAACAGAGAATTTCATAATATTATATTAGAATTTCCAGATGTAATACAATTACAAGAAAAAAAAAAAAAGAACGCATCTCCAGCCCAAAAGACTGGAGGATTAATCTGCAAACAGCAACTTCGCTAATAGCAACTGCTCTTAAAAATCATCTGATTAAACAATTGAGACATAAAAGAGAAAAGAAACGAACTCAGGCCATCAACCTCCTCGGCGAAATACGACGAACAGCAGTGCTGGTAGCACTACTACCGGCGTTTCCCTTCTTCCCAACTGGCGACCTCCGGCTACGGGTACGAGAGGAAACACCAACCACAGCCTCCTCATTCCCCTTGTTTGGAGAAACGCTATCTATCGCATCTTTTCCTACACTCCTTCGGCCCTTCTCCTCGGTGGCAACCATCTCAAATTCGTCAATCAACTTCCTCGCCCTTTTCTTCTTAGGCGGCGGTGTTGGCGTGACAGGAGCGATCTCTTCTGAAGACTCGGAGGGCTCCGAATCGAGTGTTTTAAGTGAGGCTGGCTTCACGCCGGAGCTCCTGATCTTAGCCGCCTCCTTCTTCATTCTATGAGAACGATCTTGCTGCACTCTGAGCTTCTTGACGGATCCCTCTATGCGGCCTTGGAGGCGATGGCGCTGGAAGCTGAGCCCTCCCATGGACCAGTGCGCTTCGTTGGCCCAGGAAAGGAGAGGATCCAAGACAGGAGCCGGAGGATCCACGCGCTCGTCGTTGAGCTTGCCGTCGGCGAAGAAACGCGGTCGTGGGAGACTGCTCCCATAGAACCTCCCGGGCCCCAAAGCTACGACCATTTCGACCGGATGGTGATTCGAAAAGCAAGAGAACGAAAGAGAATCAAAAGAGAGGTTTGGATCTTGCGATCGGAGTTATGTGGGATTTATGCAGAAGATTGGAGATTTGGCGGGAAAAGATTTGGCGCCAGGGTTTTGGCGGTAAACGGGTACAAAATTGAAGTAATTGGCGCGGGCTGAGGATGGGTTATATTCCCGCCCTTTCTTTACTGAGTATTACTTCCGTGATATAGCTTAAAAATTAATAATAAAATATTTAAATTTATAAGAAGAGGTGGACCACCTCCTATTGCCAAATTTGATTATTAATTATTATATGCTTAATGCTTCTTCAAACGAAACAATGGGAGCGTTGGGAATTAAAATCAAGATTAAAGATCACCAAATTAAACTTAGCTAATAGTATAAGAGATGAGATGGAAACTAAGACGTCGTTTGGGATGGCTTCTTTATTGCTTCTTAATATTGAATTTTAGTAAACATTTTGTACTAAAGCTTTGTTTTAAAAATCAATAAAAATGCCGTCACAAACGAAACCTAAGTTTTGATTAGTCTTTTGTTGAATTGATATGAAAAAGATTTAGTCAAAATTTTTTTGAGAGAGAAACGTGAGTAGAATAAAGTCACATAGAGAGACAATTTTGGGATAGAGGGGATTATGAAAGAAAATTTAATATGATAAAATTATGGTTAAATTAATATTGCACGATAATTCGCATGACAAGAGAGAGCTATATATAGGTGTGAATTAAGATCATTGTAACATAATTGGTTACTTATTGTGATTATATAGAAAGGACAGAAATTAAACTCAATGTGGTCAACTCTGTTGATAGTGAGCCTAGCTTGTAATTTGTTGTTAATTAAGAACTTTGAACAAGTTTTGAATTTAGGTTGAGCATTCTTGGTGAGTTCTTTTAGTGAGAATCCTAGTTGGTTGGTAGGTAGCTAAGTTCCTTAAAAGACCAACCTCAATGATTGGTAAACTTTGTTAGTCACTCAGACAAGTTTGTTAACTCAATATTCGGAGTTGAGTAAGAGTTGATTCTTAGACAACTCAATAAGATTCAATTTTGGGCAACTCAAGGCCTTTTTGTGAGTTTAGACTTTACAATTTTCAAGTTATAGATGGTTTAAGGCTTCGTTTGGGACAGCTTTTTTACTGCTTTCTAAAACGGAGTTTTAGTACAAAATTTTTTATTATTGTACTAAAACTCCGTTTTAGAAAGCAATAAAAATACCGTCCCAAACGAAACCTAAGTTAATTCAAAATCAACGACTTATTGAAATGATTAAAGTTCACACAATGACATGATTTACTTAACCAAGTTAATATAGATGTACATCAATTTACCAATTTTCTTACCTATCTAAGAAGCCAAGAAGGATAACATAATGGAAGTTCTAATTATGCCTAGGCTATGCAAATTTAATTTAGAGAATTGGCTCTATATAATATATAGATCTTTTACACATGGTTGATGCATCCACATCAATGTCTACAAATGTGTGGTTCATTATTCAGTTTTAAGATCTTCTATTTGCTCTTCATTCATCATTCTTGATCTTAATTTCTTACGGGATCTTATTCTTTATAATGATGAAGATGTTTAAACACTTTTCAAGCTCTATATTCATTGAGCTTATGAGAAAATGCATGAAGGCTATCAAGTAAGGGCTTCCTTTCTAATGTGACTCTGCATTAACATAAATTTCTCCAATGAAGAAGTTGAAAACCAAACATAATGAAAAGGGTTAGGATGAGTTGGGTTATTAACCTTGCTATTTTACTACTAAGGAAGACTTTGGACTAAGGATGTGAATGTCTAGAATGCTTCTAGTTATGTAGAAGTTGTCACTAATTGATTGAGCACTTTGATGCATGTCTTTAAAGGTGGCTTGGAAGGTATTCCATCGACAAAGTTTAGAGTTGAAATTCCTTATGATGTAGGGATTATTGGAGGCTTTCTAGAGTCCTCTTTCAAATAAAGATAAATAAATTCCTTTTGGCTTTTGAGTTTGACGATCATCGAAGTAAGGTCATGGCCTATCAGATGATCTCTAATATCCTCAAGCAAACTATTAACTTCTTTTTTGACCTTTTGAGGATTGGTGGATTAGATCACCGTCTGTAGGCACCCAAAATGAGTATTTTATTGATGAAGACATGGCATGATAATAACTCTGCCTACATTTTAAAGGAGCTAGTCGATTAGCTTATCATCATTTTTAAGGCATTCCACATTAATGATGTGATTATACCACATGGTAGAGGATAAATTAATATATCAATTGGTTTCCTCTAGCAAGGATCCCTCATAAATAACCTAAATATAAGGCCAATACTTAAATATGTAATGTAAATCAACTTTTCCTTATTCAAGGAGAATCGAGTGAAAAAATCCTAGATTTATTAAACAATTTTGTGCATATTAGGGAATTAAAACTAACACTTTTGTATGACTAAGTGTTGAACAACCAAGAGAGAAGAATTACCAGATAATCATCATCTATTGAGGTCATGGAGCTTTGGTCAAACCTTGCTCTATTACGAGAGAAAAACAAGGGCTATCAAAATTGGGTCATAGGTTGGGTTCGGGTCCAACCCGGAACTGACCTGACACTATTCGACCAAACCCGACTTGTTTTTCAAACGGGTCGATTTTTTGGACCCTAACCCGACATGCTCTAGGTAAGTTTTATTAAAATTTTTTATTTAATTCAATTTATTTAAACCTAAATCAAATTAAGTTAAGATCTACTTCAATCAATTTAAAATAAATCAAGCTTAATTGAATTTGGGCAATATGGTTTATTATTTGTTTGAAATATCATTTACTTATTTCATAACAATCTTTTAAAACCCTCATAAATTAATTTAAAAACGGATCAAATCGAGTTTCTTTTGAGTTTTCGGGTTAACCCGAACTGATTTTACAAACGGGTTGAAATCCCTAACTCGAACCCAAAAATTTTGGGTCGGGTTCGGAACGGATTTTTTTGTCGTGTCAAATATTGACACCCCTAAGAAAAACAAAGTAAAAATGACCTTGTATAAGACGGATTTAGATAAAGAGATGGGGTTCTTTAAATCCTTACTAGGGACAAGATGGGCTCACTTATATAAATTTATGAGTGATCCTCTATCTAGGTTGCACCTGAGATATACAAAATGACTAAGTCAAATGAAGGAATGAGGTATTATAGTGAACCTTACCTATAAATGAGCTAGGACATGAAAATTACTCAAATTAATGCAAACCACTAGCAGCCTTCACCTATTCCTCATGTGAATTGTTCGACACCACCTTTATACTAATTAAAACACAAATTATGTAATTATCTCACCTCCAACTGCCTCTATTTATGATATAAGAGCTTGAGAGATGGGGCATCACTTGCACTTTGCTTGTAGTTGCCAAACATCTTTCTCATTGTGATTGATAAGAAGACGACAACATATAACTTCCTTCCTCATACCATGCACTTTTCACCTCATCTTTTTTCTTTGACTAGAAGACAACCTCAAGCCTTACTCATCTCCTTTATCTTCCTCCCTGTCTTCCTTATCTACTATGTTTTCTCCTATTTAAATGTTTAAAGCATATATTTAACTAATTGATAGTCCTTTTAATATCATCATTTAACTAATTGTTTTTTAACTTTTTATTTAGGTTAGTTGAGATTGCATTTATATTTTGGTATTTGGTGTTTTTAATCCTTTTAACCTTGGATTTATGCTTTATTTAGTTTATTTTAAGGTTGAATTACATGGTTAAATTCAAAGGTTTGGGGGATCTATTACATTATAACTTTGCATTCTACTTGATCTTTAGGGTAGCATAGGTTAATCATATCAAATTCTAGTAGTTCTAATGCCTTTATTGCATGTATAAATAATTGTGAGTTGTATAGGGCCTTGGAGTTCAGTTTCACTTAATAATGTTGGTTAGATCTCAAATAAATATTAAGTTTCAGACTGTTAATTTATTGAAGGATAAATATATCTTTTTTTATTAACTATGTTATCCTTAATAATTGTACTAAATTTCAAGATATTTATTGATTGTTAGTCCTACCCTCATTATTCAATTATTTATTATATATATGATCATAATTATCTTTTAATATTCATAATGAAATAGCAAGTTGCATAAATAGTTTTGTGTTGAATTATTTTTGTGCAAATTTGTATATATTTAATTAATTTATGTAGTAGCATTATCTAATTTTCATGTATATTATCACAATTAATTTATGTAGTAGCATTATCTAATTTTCATGTAAATCATGTTTTGTTATGAAACCAACACTAGTCATATCAATATAAAATATATATATATATATTGGAATGATAACTCAGTCATATTTAGATATGTATGATTATAATTTATATAGTTGCATATATATAATAGTGTTAGAATATAAATGCATTGTTTGCAATTTATCATATAAATGATTATTAATATCAACATACTAAAAATCACATTACACTCCTATTATATATGAATATTGTGTTTTTTCATTATTGAATATGCATGCCCTAATACTTTGTTTTTTATGCACTGATAAATAGGAGTTGCTTGTTGGGTTTGACGCATTAAATTAACTTATTGTAAATTTCTTTTATAATAGGGTCGCTTGGTGTATCATCACTATAGGAATAGACTATTTAATAATATGATTTCATTTGATATTTTTATGTTTATGTAGTAGTCCTATTTATATTTGTGTTGAATTTGGAAAATTTTATTTAGGAAATTATTTTTTCTAGTTTCTTTTCTATTAGTCATTATTTTTTACTTTGTTATACTTTTATTATAGACTATATTTATGAAATATAATATTAACCTATTTCATTTGTTTACTCTTACTATTTATAATTACTTGGACATAAACTTTCTCAAGCGAGTGTGAAATAGGTTTTAAGTGAAATTAGATCTTAATAATTAATCCAAAATTTGAGGTCAATCCTTCATCACGTTCTATACTGCCAATTTGTAAAGCCTTTTGAACCTAGGGTGTGATATAGTGGCATCAGAGCCATCAATTTTATGTTCAATATGCTTTATGTTTTTGGACTTATTAATGGGATATTCCATCATGTTATTCTTAATATTATTATTTATCTAATGTATATAATAGTTTCTTTTTTATTTGCATTGGTTTTTTTTTATGTAGAATGGCACTAAGAAGAAAAGGTGTTGCCACTTAAACAACTAATGGCTTGAAAGATATGAATTTATACTTGTTGAGATTAGATTTATTGGTCAAATATCGCAACACCTTTTATCTTCTTCTCAAATCATCTACATGAGAAAACACAATCATATCATCATCCTTTCCTCCTTTCCACAATGATATATGAAAGTGTGTGCAATCTAATTGAAGCATAATAATGTTAATATATTATTCAAGTATAACTACACAAATTTATATTCAATTAAACTAATTCTACATATTAGCTATTTATAGTCTTATAATGATAGTGAATGAAAATGATTATAAGATAAATTATTTGAATTGTTAATTGTATATGAACTTATAAAGATATTCTTACAAACACCAAGACACAAGTGACCAAGATAAAATATGATTGTAATATAAAGATAACTAAGCATAAGAAGAGAGAGAGAAAGAGAGAGAGAGAGAGAGAGAGAGAGAGAGAGAGAGAGAGAGAGAGAGAGAGAGAGAGAGAGAGAGAGAGAGAGAGAGAGAGAGAGAGAGAGAGTAATTATATTAGTTAAATATAAAATTTGTTTTTTATAAAAGAATTTATAGATAATGTTTACTAATTATAATTTTTAAATATTAAAGAGAGTACATGAATTGCTATAAAAAGTATATTAAAGCCCCATTGGATTTAGTTTTTTATTTTTGATATGTCACCGGAAAATCTATCTAATCAAGTAAAATATATCTAATCTAGTATGAATCTTGATGAAATATTTGAATTGAAAACTTATTGAATTAAATTCAAGACCATCCAAGCTCTCATTTTGGCAAACATAAATTCAAACAAAATATTTAAATAAGAAGAACCCAATAACATCAAATGTATTCGATCCAAATCCAAATGAGCCGCAATCAAGATCTTGAAGAATAATTAGAACTTTTGCGACATTAATTGAAGGACATGATACTCATTTGATCTTGTGTGTTATTAGTCAAATCAGGCATTTTGAAGAGTGGAATCCAAGTTTAAAGTCACTTAATTTTGAGGTCACTTAGATTTTTAAATATTGAAAGAATAGTCTATGATTAAAGGAATCAACATGGGTTTGATGATACAATATTTTGAAATTTTTGCTAGCAAAATGCCACTCAAGAAAATTATATTTGGCAACATTCTTCACATGAAACGAAGGAGGACCTTAAGTTAAATTTAGAGAGCTTAGAGCTCCACCCAATGTTTGACGATGCCGATCACCATTAGTAACCACAATCACCTGACCACTAATGCCTTACTATCATTGCTCACCCATCATCACTCACGTGACTATTATGGTTAAACTCTCTCTCACTTGACTACAATCTCTTGACCATCATCATCCAAATATAGTCTCTTACCTATTATCACTTGATTATTATCACTTGTTACACTGATGATCATAGATTTATCATCTATCATCATAGATAATGATAGCATGCATATGCCATCACTTATGAAGCCGATGCACACCATCACTTATTAGGTCAATGCACATCATTAATACATGCCATCACTAATAAAGTTAATACACATCGTTGACACCAAGGATGATGCCTACCAACTTTATCACCTATCATCACACATATTGTTGTTGCACACCGTCACCAATAAAGTTAATGCATGCTATTAATTCTAACTATGATTCGTGGCATTAATAGTAAGACTATATTAGTATTTAGTCTTCTCTTCTTAAAGGAGAATAATTAAACATAATATAAATGGTCACCTAAAGATAACTTCAATGCCTCAAGTCTCTTCAAATTTCCACCATAATCCATCTTCAATTATTCACACATATTATGTTATATCAATACTTTCCTAAATTAAGGAGAAGAGCATGATTTATAACCTATGTCACATAATAGTAGATCATTTCAACTAGGTCTGGCCCTATAGTTTTTTCATTTTTTTTTTCAATTTTTTGAAAAAAATGTTAGTGTCTTTTATAATCTTATTTTACCTATGTATTATATCTTACTATAAAGCAAAGATGTTAATTTTACTCTCATTCTACTACTATGAATATTCTAGCTTGCAACAATTTGGTGCCACATGCCAGAAACAATTTAGTATTCTACAACCCCTCATCTAATTGTTGATAAGCTTAGTGCTCATTATAATGGAGTTTCCCACTCTAGAATTTACCAATTTGGAAATTAATCTCTCAATCAAGGGCAACATAATCCAATTAGTGGAATTCACCCAATCTCACTTTGGAGGATCGTCTTTGTAATATGGAGGAATAATAAACTCAAATTCTGTAGTTCTCACAAGAATTAACTCGATAAATAATTTAATCACGACATTGAAGTTTGCCACTCTCGTAATTAGCAAGATGTCAAGGTTGAATGCCTCCTCCCTTTTATATTGAAGTTCCTCAGCCATAATAAAATCTAAATATTCATGATACTGCTAGTTTAAACTATCCTTTACATGATGTTTGATCGACTCAAAATCCCCCAATAGTCGTAACATAAATTATGCAAACTAAGTATAATGAAATCATTGATATTGTCATACAAAAGAATTTTGACACATTGTCCAATGATTCCCTTTGAGAGAAAAAAATTAACACACTATTCATTATAATGTTCAACATTCTTCATCTTTAATAGAGGCAAGTCTCCAACAAAATATATTAGTATGATTTAAGTTATTCATTATTGATCCCTATGAATGGACTTCTGATTCCTATGAGCATGTCAACTACTATATAACCATCAGACACATTTAATAGGCCTTCAATACACTCAATTGACAAGTTTTTTCTACCATTCTAAAGGGTTAATTCTATATTTGTTTCTGCTTTCTTTCTAACAGAACTATCAACAATTTTGTTAATCATATTGAGCTTTTTAATGAATAGTTTATTATAAATCGAAGGATTATCAATGATGTTAGTTTTACAAGTGTCTATTTGTCACTGAAAGTGTGTGGCATGCCATCACCTATGAGACTAATACATATTGTTAAAACATTTCATAGAGTATAAGGTTGTTGCATGTTATCAACATATGCCATCTCTTATAAGTTCGATGTACACTATTGGCATTAAGGTGTATGGCCACTAACTTTGTCGCTTGTCGTTGCGCATAGAGTTGATGCACACTACGACAAATAAGGGTAATGCATATTGTCGACACCAACTTTGATTCTTATCATCAACATCATGACTATTATGGGTTTCATGGTCTTTGTTATTCTCTCCACAAAACAGAAATATTAAATAGATTACAAATAATCACTTTAAGATAACTCCAATGCTTTAAGACTCTTCCAACTTCCATCATAAAATTCATCATTAATAGTTAATGTCAACTTTTTTGTATCAATTTTAAATTAAGGGAATTATCATTATTTGTGACCTACGATATATATAAGTGGTGCCATTTCAACTGAGTTGAGAATTATAATTTTTTTTTCTTTTTGAGACTTTCATGTAAAAAAAGTATATTTTAATAACTTTATTTTACCTTTGTGCATGTTGAATATTTGTACAAAATTAAATGCTAAACACCCACTAGTCAACCATCTCAAATTTCTAGAAAGCAACAATATTTATTATTTTTTATTTTTCATAATGTAGTTTAGTCCTTAGGGGCTTTGTTGTTTGTACATATAAAATATAGTTTAAAATGAAAATTATTTTTAATTAATTTTATACTTGTGCATTAAATTATTTGAGAAAAAAATTAAATTTTAAATATATTTATCAAAGATTAAAAATCTAATAATCAATAAATTTATTATTTTAAAATTTTATAAATTTCACTAAAATCAACTCTAGGATGACCTTGAGGCTAAACTAAAGAAATAATAAATGCTGTAAATACCGCCCCCATGTCCCAAATCCCTAGTCCAAGCAGCCTCCGAATCCTAACAAATCCCCACGAGTTTTTTTTTTCCAAATCCTCCTCTTTTATAATATCCCCTGCGGTGCACGCTAACGTCATTACCTAATATCTGCCATTATTGCGATCCCGGTTAAGCAGAATTGTTCCGTGGGGATGTCTTATCCGAGTATTGTAATACTATAAATCTGAAGCCTCCCCGAAGTCACCGCTTAACTTCTTCTTTATTTCTTCTCGTGTTTGTTCTGGGGACGCTTCGGCCCTGGAGTCGAAATCAGCTGGCTGCCGGAGGCGAGGGAGGTTATGCAGGAAGGCGTCGAGGTATCGCTTTCAATACTCTTTTTACTTCGAATTATTTATTATGTATTCCGTTTTATCTGGATCGGAAACGGCGATCGGCCTGGTGGAGTTTAGGGTTCTTATGCAGGGCTCGTAGGGTTTGTAGTGACAGATTATCACTAGTAGATGTCTTGAATTAGGGTTTCCAATTGTTTTTGTGGTATGGATTTTTTCGTTATCACTTTGGTGCGTGATTTGACATGTGTGTTATTGCGTTTGCGATGTACAAGTCTAAAGCTTTGGGAAAATTGGACTTCTAATTGCGAATAATAGAGGGATTGACTGATTTTTCAAACTATTGATGTGTGTAATTTGGATGATAATAACTTTGAAGCTAATTGGCATGGTAAAATTCCAATTCTATATGGAGGATGAAAAGAGAGGTGTAAAACTCTACATCGTAAAAGAAATAGGATGGTAAATGTGACTATCTGAAATGATGTTGATACGTATCTGAAAATTTGAGTTGAGCATCTTGCTCGTTGTAGGATGGCCATGAAATAGGATGGTAAATGATATAAACGTTACTGATTATGGATTACAGAACTATTATACAAGAGAATATAAAATTTATTGATCATGGAATCCAGAACTATTATAAGCAGCAAATGCTTAATCCACAGTTGAACATGCTTGAAGCTGTATGGGATTTGAGATTTGAGATTCACAGTGCATTTGCAGGGGAAATGGATAGATGAACCTTAATAGAAAATAGTAGTGTTAGTCGATTTGGCTATAGCAAATTAGTATGGTTACGTCTCACATCAAGAATCTCAGTAATACTGCAATTCAAGAACGCTTTGAGCTTCTTTTACCTTCATTGAAGGAAGTTTTAAGTGTAGAATCTTTAAGATGTGAAATGAAAGACATTTGTTTCTTTATTTCATCATAATGGTGGCAAGTCAGTTTTAGTGAACAGTATTTTGTTAATATCTTGAAAGGCATTTGTTTCTATCTTTTTACTTATCTTTATTAGTTCTATTCCAGGGCCTCTCTCTTATAATCATTTTTTACTCTTCTTTTTTAGTTTTGCAATGTATTCATCTTAATTCTTTCATTGTTTCCATATTAAACTTGGCTATTAGTAGGTTTTTTTTTTATCGTCTATCACTTATATCCTTATTATGAACCTAGTTTCCAATAATTATGTAAAACTTACCTCAAACCTCCATGATAATCTCTTATAACAAAGTATGTTTAAGGTACTTCTTAATTTTAACGACCAAATATTAATGTTTAAAAGGCAAAGACAAAAGACAAGTTATTTTATTTGTTAGTGGACAGTGCTTAAGCCCCATTAATTTATGTTTTTAACATTTAATAAATATAACATATTATTGCCAAAATCAAATTGAGGAAAAGCATGTGAGAGAACTAGAGAAGTATAAAAGTAAATATATATATTCTTTTAGATTAAAGGATAAAGAAATATTATGGGAGAGAACTAGTGAACTAGAGAAGTACATAGATACAAAGAAGAACCAATTTTCATTATATGATATCCAATGAACTATTGCAAATCTTTCTCTTGATGAAACATAGTTGGAAGCAATGATATTTAATGATGATGATATTAAAGGTCAAAAGCAAACCTCTGAAGCTAATCATAGTAGTTGAAGCTTGAATGTTTGATGTTATAGCAAGTGGTTATTTGCTTATATTTTTGTGGTTGTACTAGACATTTTGTACTAAATATTTTATATTATAAGTTAGACAAGTTATCATGCCATTCATTTATTATTGTTTGTCATTTTTAATATGATCTTACATTAATATCTATGCATTATATAAAAACATGTAATGTCATGTCCGTGCCGTACTCATGTCCTATATTTTTTTAAAAACACGTGTCCCGTATCCGTGTCGTGTCCGTGTCGCTGTGTCCGTGCAAATAGCTCTCATAATAGTTCATTCGATATCATCTATTTATAATTAAAATAATTTTATCATAAAAAATTAGGACACGTGTATCAACTGTGTCCGACACATGTCCCAGTCGTGTCCGAAACGTGTCCCAGCTGTGTTGTGTTAAATTTAAATATTATTTTAATCTGACACGTGTCCCAGTCATGTCGGGCACGTGTCCGTGTCCGACACGTGTCTGACACTGTATTCTCTCTTCAAGAGGTGTGTCGGTGCATCATAGATTAAATTATTATCTTAATCACATGCTCAGTATATCATGTGCTTAGTATGTCACTTGCTTAGCATTGGTACAGTGAATTAATTAGTAGTAGTGATGTAGAACTAAATGCTTAAAATGAATGAAATAAGAATTTGCATGATTTCTTGAATTAAGCACGTAAGATTACCACTATTAACAATCAAAACGACGATAGAAAACAAAAGAGGGGTGCCTACGTTTAGGCTAAGCCACATGCCAAACACTTGGAGATTCAAAACAAGTAGCAATTCAATAACATGCAAAGTAAATAGCTTTCAACAAAATCCCTAATCTAACAATTAGATTAGAAGCATAGAAAGTGTATTTAATCCTATGTTTACTAAGCTTAGGCAAAGGTGAAGCTCAGCTCCTTGTGAATCGTCATCATTTACAAGATTAGGAGATAAGGAAAGTAATCAAAAAAAGGGGGAAGAAGTTCACCCTTTTCACAACCCGGTAGCAAGTAGTGAGATGTTGAAGAAGTTTGTCTTAGCTCCCTTGAAGGTTTAACTTTGTCGAAACCCGGCAACAAGTATTCAAGATCTACAGACGTCGTCGTTGCTCCCCTTGAAGACTACTCTTGAGAGGGAGGAGATTATCTTGAGAAGTCAAGAGGGGAAGAGGGATGGAGGTGGCCGGCTAGGGATGAGGGCACGGGAGAGAAATTTGGTTCAAATTTTGGAAGAGGAGATGGAGGGAAATCAAGTATTTGTTTTCCCTAATTAATCCCTTTACTTTGAGAGAGGATTAGGGTTTAATTAGGGAAGGGTGGGGTGGATAAGGAGGGGGTTAGGAGGTTTGAATTATTTCCAAGAGGGGAGAGAGGCTTATGGAAATAATTCCATGGGAGACCATGAAGGGGCCGACGGCTTCAATGGATGGGAGGGAATTTGTGGAGAGGGATTTGAGTTTCAAATTTTGGAGGTAGGAATTAGGAAAGATTCAATTAAATCCCATCTAATTTGAAATTCAAATAGGACTTAAATTTAGTTACTTTCCTAATATAGGATCTCTTAATTATGAAAGAAATTTCAAATTCCAATAACTTGAAAATTTTGAAATTATGATTTCCTAAATTAAGAACTTTCATTTTTGGTAAGTAGTCAAAGGAGATTTGAGGTTGTGGAGGAAGGATGGGGGTAGTAGGGCCGACCAAAGGGGATGGAGGGAGAAATAATTTAATCATTTCCAAAGAGGGGGCTTGGGATTTAGGAAATAATTTCCTAAATCCACCTATAGGGGCCGACGGCTTGAGGAGGTTGGAAGGCTTGAATTAATGAGGCATTAATGCCTACTTAAATTAATAAATTAAGTTTGGAAAGAAAATATCTAATCCTCACTTAATTTAAAATTTAAATAGGACTCAATTTAGCCAGTTTCCTAAAATATGATTTTGTAAATTAGGCAACTCTTTCAAATTCAAATCAATTTGAATTTGAGCATGAAGGGAGTTACAAAAATCATAAAACCTATTTTTGGAAAGTTGTGGGCCGGTGTAGATTGGGAGGAGCCACGGGTGGCCGGTAGTGAGGGAGTTTGGCCGTGGGGAGGGGATGGGGTGGGGGCATAGGTGGCAGGAGTTGGTGGGACTAGATGGCCGGTGGCTTAGGGACCCGGGAGAACCCTTGGCTGGCGACTATGAGATGAAGAAAGGTTAAGTAGATGGGTGGTTAGGAGGTGAGGAGAAAGAAAAATAGATAACGAAGAAAACTACGAATCCGGCCGTCTCCAAGGTTGGTGGGTGATCCGAATTCCCTCTCCTAGGGATCTCGCTCTCTCTCCAAGCACTCTCAAGATCTCTCAAGAACTCAAGCAATAACACAAAATTTTTAATCATTCAATTATTAGCTTTAGAAAAAGAACATGAGGACTATAAATAGCCTCGTACATAAGACTCAAAATAAAAAAGACGACAATGCCCTTAGGGCTTACATATGACTTCCCTTAAGCAAGGGGTAAAACGGGAAAAACAAATGCAACATAAATAACAAATAACATAATAAAATAAATACATGAAATAACTCAAAAATACATCGACGCGATCGTGGCCTTAGATCGACGACCACGCCTCTGATATACGATTCATGCTCTGATGTTTCCATCAAGTAGTATCAAACAATATTGGTGTCATATCAGTAACAGTAAAATCAGTGGCAAGAGCAGTAAAATATTGCAGTAATATTAAATCCGTGTTGCAATAATAAATCCTTACATTAATAAGAATAATGTCTCAATAACATGTATTTTAGTAGCACTAAATTTAGTTGTCAAAATAAATTTTTGATTTGATAAAAATCATTGTTTTTTTTAATCATTTATCAGAAAATTTCAAATAAATATTCAAAATATTCATAATCTTAATCTCTATAATATATAAAAAGTTATGCAGAGAAAGTTTTATCAATACAAAATTATCTTTGGTTTTCGATAACAGAAATGCAAATTTGATCTTAAAAATCTCAAAAGCACTAAATTATTGAAATTAAAAATAGGACAGTTTCTTACAATGATATGAGCAAATCTCCCAATGGAGTTGATGGACAAAAATTGCTTTACGGCCTCCTAAGCCAACCTTATCTTTTCTCTCTCCTCTTTTTTCTCTCTAATTCCTATTACATTTCTTTGTTTGCCAAAATTAGAAGAGAAAAGGGATTTTAATGGCTTTAGTGGCTTAGGGTATTAATTATAATAGAATAATAATGATATAATAATATAATAATATAATTTAATCAATTTTCAGTATAAAGTTCATATAAATCCTTTTGGGGCTTAAAAAATTATAGAAAATATCCATAAAATAGCCAAATTTTTAGCCAAATTTTTTTTTTTCAAAAATTTTGGTGAAATCTGTTTGTAAACTAACGGTTCCAAAATCTCCACTTGTATCGAAAGTTGTTAATTTCTTAAGGATTTGCACCAATATACAAAAATTATGGAAAAAATTTATGTAATTAAATCAGTACAATATCTATGTTATGATGAAGACGGTTTATGATTTGGATTTTTGATGGCTCCTGAAAAAAATGATTTGATTGGGTTAAAATATAGGCTATTACACATACTTAAGACTATGATGTCTCTTACAAGCTTGTAAGAGAGGAGTCTTTGCCAAGTCTTAGGAAATTAAATGAGTAGGAAAGTTATTTATAATAGGCTAAAATTTGGTAGTTTGATGTTTTAAATGTAATATGACTCTTATATCATGGGGCAACGTCTTGCTAATGGGGTGCAAAAGTTGCCCTAGGCACTTGGGGCAATACCTTGGCTCTTGGGCATAACACTTCGTAGGTTGAACACCTCCTTTGAATGACTTGGGGCAAATTTTCTCTGTCTTGCCTTGAGGCTTGCCTGAGTCAATTCCTAAAAATGTTGTTTGAAATACTACCCAACATTAACTTGTAAGTCTCATTCTTATTTGTATCTCCATTATAGGCATCACTTCTAGTTTTTCAATATTAAATCATAGTTATCATTTTTGCACACTCTAAAATTGCATATCATAATTTTATTTTTTATTGTTCATCCCAAGCTCCTTATCTTTAGAAGTTTCTCCATTATTCTAACTTCCCACATGGTTATAGAGGTTTTGTTGATTAGAACTATGGCCATTCTTAAATGTAATATAGAATGGTGTGAATATTATTTGTAAATATCTCCACCATCAATACAAAGATATACTAATTTATGTTGATCCTTAACGTAATCATATCTTATTTGGTAACTTGTTAGTCATTGCGGCAATACTATTAATAATAATTAATGCTCTATCATAGACATCTTAAGTAACTTTAACATATATTATAAGTTTTTCTTCTCCCAAATGAACGCCAAATAAATTATTGTGAACTCAGTTCTATACTCAAGGTTAAAAAAAAAATCATGTGCAAACTCTATTTGTGCTCTTTGTATTTCTTTATTAATTTCCTTATCATAAAATGCTTCTTCATAATGGAACTTCCTGGCAAAACTTAAGTTAATTTTTATGATAATGTGAATATTTAAGTTAATATTCTATTACACGCCTCCATGACTAATAAGCTTGATTGTATTTAATATATCATTATCTTAAATGTCCCATTTATTTTTAAATATTTGTGAAGATATTTCTTCTTTAATCATTTGATGTTCTTGTAATCTTTAAAGTTTCATTAAAAAACATTGTTACCTAAACTCTATATTATCTTCCACAACTCTTCAAATCTTAAGAGAGATCTCATATGAACCAAATACTTTTACCTTTATGCATCTTGTTAGTTTCATTGTTTTAAATAAGTTCATAGTAACTTCTATAGTTTTTTTAGTATGCTCTTTTAAAGAATTTTTTCCTTGAATGCCTTATTTTATTAAATTCTAAAAATAATTTTTTTATCTTTCATTGATTCTATTTGCTTTACTTCTCGATAAATTCCTCAAGCAAAGTTTCTAGGTCTTTATTCTTTGCCTTGTCTATTTTTTGTGTCTTATCTCCTCCATAGAGCTTGGCCTATGTAAGTGAAAAACATGATACCTTTTGCTTTAATCAGTCATTATGAATAAGACTTCTAATTTCTTATAGCAGTTGTAAGCCTAAGTATTATTTATTTTTGGTTGCTTTTAAAGAAAAATTCTTTCCCTTAATAACGTTTTGCATTTTCTCGCCCTATTAATAGATCTCCTTGCATGTAATTAATTTCTAGAGCATCTTAAAACTTCTATGCCAACCTTCTTAGTCTAATTAACTATCTTATACCGCATCAAGTTTGCTTTAATTAGAGATTTTTGTGGTCTATCTAGCTAAACTACCTATCTTTGTTTCTTTATTCCTCTAAGATAAATATTATTAAGTATTAATCTATATTATGTGGTTAATTATCTTATAGTCTTTGCTAACAGATTTATCTTTCCTTCTATATGAAAATATTATATTTTTGATTTTGTACTACATCTTTGAAAGTGATAAAAATGATCTTTTTGTTTATTAGAGTATGTGTTTATTTTTTGCAAGATTATATGCTACTATAATATCGTGGATAACTTCTTCCATTATGCTTCTATTTCACACTGCTTTCCCAAAAATTTATCTCATGAACCATTTTATAGGAATCTATATGTTTATTGAAGTGGAACCCAATAATTTCTCTTTTTTGAAGTCATACATTTCAATAGCATCCGTCAAATTTTTTTCAACTATCTTTTGATTCAACTTAAGAAGCATAAACAATAGCCAATTTTTAAAAAACACTCAATCGCTAGCTTATTCATCTTAATGATTTTATCTGTTAACTGTTTTTACAATTCATACATCTGTAGACTTATTAGCTTTCCAACATTTTGCTTAGAGCCTTCTCGAAAGTTTTTGGATTTCTTCTCTTTTCATTTAGGAGTAATCTGGTTCAATTTGGAATGCAAAAGAAAGTAAATGCGTGTAAAGTTTGATGAATTTTGATGTATTTTCTTTTCTTAAATTCATAAAGGAAAAGATGTAAAGTTACTTCACTAACTTTAAATAAAACAACAAAAATCTTACTTTGCATGCAAGTAACTTCACATCAAATTTTCACTCAATCGAATAGTCCCTTAGTTCCTCACAAATGCAAGCTATTTATTCATTTTTCTAATTACCCATTGTCATAACCGTCATTATTATCTTTATCCCTACTATATGATGCGAACTTTTTGCATCATTATTTTTCATCGTCCTTGTTAATTTTAGTTGTATGAAGTCTATACATCTTTCTATACTTCTATTAAAATTACTTAAACTTTAACCCTTTCCTAATCCATCAATACTAATTTTATGTACCAGTCCAATGGGTGCATTTTTCACTATATGCATTTAAATAACTCAAATTTATTTTCAACTGTCTTTATTTTCAATAGATGCTATTCCAACTATCTTATATAATCATTTCTTTAATTTATCCTTTCTAATGTTGTTTTATATTCATCTTAACATTTTTAATTTTATGTAGTTCAACTTGGCTATCAATGCCATCTTTATTGCACAACATTCAAATCTATGTAACATAGCTGATCTTATTCAAGTATTTTTGAACTTATCTTTAAATTCTTAAGATAGTCACTTGCCACATAATCTTCTTCAAATCATTACATTCGGTATTTGTCCTTCCATTTAATCCCAAGTTCCATCTAAAAATTCTGACCTTAATTGAATCTTTTCACATTTTTAATCACAATTGGATCTTGTGTTGCATCACATGCAGGTGACAGCTAAGCCAATCATTGCCAGCTTCCTAGCTATATTAGATTAAATTGTGCTGCATCATTTACTATTGATGTCCTAACAAATCATTAATTTTCCTTGCAATCAGGTTTTGTGGTGATGTACCTCTTTTGCGGATCACCCTTTTACTGAAAAATTCAAATTTGGATTCATTTCTTGGGGTTTGGAATAGTTGTACGATGTATTGTTGACATAACACAACCCTAAATCTTTCTTATTCTGGCTTGGGACTTAAATCATTTTTGTAGGCTTGGGCCTAAGTTGTTTTAAGCTGTTGAAATAATTGCTTTAACAAATTTTACACTTTTGTGGATGCCAACTTTGAAATGCTTGCTTTAACAAATTGTATACGGTAAATTGTATATGTTTGATAAACTGCACTTTAACTATTTATATTCTTTATGGCATTATTAAAAAATGACCCTTGAATTTGGAAAGTCACTGTTAGATTAAGCATCTTAGCTCTAAGTTAAGGGTATTGGAAACGTTTTGGATTTGTATACATCTCATTAGATGTGAATAATTATTTTTATTTGAGTATTGTGTTATTGTTATATGTGAGCTCCCCGCAGGTTAAACTTTTTTGGGTCTAGATTAAGCTAATTAGGTTTAGGAAGTCGACTTTTTTTTTAAATTAGTATATGTATTAGACCGTAGCAACACCAGCAGTGCTTTCATTTTGTTGAATTTCATTTTGCAGGTTAAACTTTTGTAGAATTTTGTTGATTTTCATTGTGTAATAAGAATTACTAAGAGACTGTTTGTATATCATTTGAATAATGCAAGTAAATCACTAAATCCCTTGAAAGAAATGCTGCCAATTTACTTTGCAATAGTTTTTGAGGAAAATGAATTATGAAGTAATTTAGTTCCACCAAATTTTTATTCAAATGAAATACAGAACAGTTACTTTGAATGCAAATACTATGAATAAGATTCTAACAAACCCAAGCCCCCTAAATCTGGCTACCAATGTTGAGTATCCTAAAATACATTTAATGTTCAGCGCATATTACACTCTTTTAATTTACCTTTTTGTTAATGTGGAGCTAGGGCATCTTTTATTATTTTCCATGCTTTCAGACTCTTGTTTAACGTATATCCATTTCTGTTTCTTTTGGTATATGAAGCTACTTTATTATTAGAAGCTTTGTGTCCATGTCAGTATAATCTTTTATTATGCTTGTCAATTGCTGGGGTCTGAAATCTTATTTTTGAGTCATCTGCTTTGATTTTACACCTCATTTGGTAATGCTTTTTAGTAGCTTTGTTTATCAAAGAGGCATCACAAATTAATTTTGCAACAATAAAATGTCATTACGAAATGAAGTGTTAATTCTCCTTTGTTTTGTGATGCAGCCCCACTTTTCTCAGATCCTTCTGCGGGTGTATGGGACTCATCTTTTGCATGTTTTTTTTTAAATTAAGTTGTTTATTAGCATATTTTTAATAGCATTTTCTCCTTTGTTTTCTAGGTTGTGCCTGTTTGTTCCGTGGGCTTGACTGTCTGGAGCAGGATATGGGGCAAATGCAACTTGGGTCAAGCTACTGTCAGTGTGAAACCTTTTTCATACAGAAAGTTCCTATTTGGCGTCTTCTCGTTCTCGGAAACTTCCTTCTCCTCTCATTCGTTAACTGCACTTAGGGGTCATTTCCTGTTCCATGACCACCACGGGCATCAAGATTCTATCTTTTCTGAAGTTATTTGGTCCTAAGTGCTATAAAGGATTCCACTACAAGTAATCCTCTTTAAGTGTGTTTCTGTTGCTGTCAACATGATCTGCCTATTATCTTGTATCAGTGTCCAATTTCAGTTTGCTTGTCAAGTTTTAGGAGTATTTTTACCAGAAATATGAACCTGTCTGTTATGGTTCAGGTAATGCATATTTCAAGTGATTGAAGATGTAAGTAATGATTGATATTTTCTTTCTTTTGTGATTTAAGGTTTATTGTTCCTTTGATCCAGGTTAACTGCTACAAATATTCTCTCTTCGCTCTTTAGTCTTTAATAAATGCAAAATTGCTTCAAGCCAACATGCTCAATTTTCACAAGTATGGGAACATGTGCAGACTACCGACCTAAGGATGCTGGATTGGTTGTTTCTTGTGGTTTGGTGATAGGTGGTGTTTAGTCTGTGCGGCATCTCAAATAAAGTGGGTTCTAGAGTTGGAATTTATCTGTATAAGGTGTAGTGGCATCTGCTAAATTACATCTGGAAGTGGGCTTCTATAGACGAGTTTTTTCTGTCAGTAAATTGGAATCTTTTTGTTAGGCACTGTGGTGCTTCGCATTTCTAAATAAGAGCTTGGGGTGTAATTATTTCTTCAATTGAGAAGAATGGAACGGTAAGGTGTCTATGCTGTTTTGTTAATTAACTTTAGTTTTTCAAAAAGATTTCACTGTTATACCATATTGTTGTTTTTTTATTGCAGCTATCTGGTGATCAAGGAAGTTGGATTTGGAACATTTGGTAATGTCTGGAGAGCTGTTAATAAAGATAGTGGTGAAATTGTATGTTGTCTGAATTTAGTTTGAGTATGATTTAATTTATCATATTTAATGAAAGTCAAGTATTTTATTTTTTATTTTTTGCATCATTCCATGTATGCTTTGCATCACAGGTTGCCATAAAGAAAATGAAGAAAAAGTATTATTGCTGGGAGGAGTGCATGAATCTTCGGGAAGTCAAGGTAATATTTTTGTTGAATGAATCTCTTCAGTGGCTGGATCTCATTTTCAAAGAAGATAAACCTTTGTTTTACAGTCCCTTCGAAAAATGAACCATCCTAATGTTGTGAAGCTTAAAGAGGTCATTAGAGAGCACGATGTGCTATACTTTATCTTTGAATATATGGTATGCTGCTTTTGTACTTAAGCTTGTTTTTAATTTGTCAGAGAATGCTTAATTTTGTTGAGCTCTTTGATTTCTTTAGGAGTGCAATCTTTATCAGTTTATGAATGATAGAGACAAGCCTTTTTTAGAGTCTGAAATTCGAAATTGGTGCTTTCAAGTGTTCCAAGCCCTTGCATACATGCATCAGCAAGGCTATTTTCACCGTGACCTTAAGCCTGGTATGACTATTTTGTGTTTGTTGTTTAAGACAATATATTATTGTGGTACTTTTTTTTTGGTCGCTTTTCTCATACTTCTTAATTTTCAACTTTTTCATGTTAACATACTTGTTATTGCTGTTAATTTGACTAATTCATTTATTGGTCTCATTTATTCTGTCTCTATTTACAAAAGATAAGAACCTTCTTTAATAGTAAAAATGATACAAATATCGAATATGCGCCATCACAACTAATTCATTCAGAAGTCAGATATTATTTAATTTGATTGCCCATACCGTTGTAGAGTGATGCAGATGTAAAAAGTGAGGAGAGTTTCTATTAAGAGAGGGACCTTCGAGAGGGGTATATAGAGAGGAAGATTCAGTTTTAATTCATTTATCAATTGATTTTATTATAATTCATGAAAGATCTGTTTAAAGAAATAGAATTTAGAAGATAATATCAGTCAAATTGAGTTCAAATATTATGATATCTAAACCTACTTAATTCAAATTTCAAACTAAATATTATACGAAGAGATAATTTAAATCTATTTTCAATTAAAATGAAGACAAATAATTATAATTTAATTGAAATGTTTGAAAAAATAATTAACCTAATTTCTTGTGTTGCATCAATTCTCTTAGGCATTTAAAAAAAAAATTCTAAAGATGTACCTAAAAGCTCCTTTTCTAAAAGTGGCCAATGTGGAGTCGGAGGAAGAACTTCTTGAAATATCATTTGAATGTGTAATGTACGACATGAAAACATAAACAAAATCTGAAGGCTTTGGATTTGGATGCTTCAATGCATCTTAACATCTTCCTCGAAGCAATCTTATAGAAGTCCCAAAATCATATGGTGATAGCAAAAATGGTAGCACAAACCAAACAGTTTGGCACTGACTATAACAGATTGTTGATAGAAAAGATCAATATGTGAAGTAACTGGGAGTGATCTAGAAAGTTGGGAATTAACTTGCAGCTCCTTCTTTAGTGCTTGGGAAGTAATAATGACCTCTGAAAAAATCTTAGTCAAGCTCTATATTAAGCTTAACTTTAGGAATATAATCAATAGGCCTACAATCTTGCGCAACTTCAACCACATTATCATGCTTACACTCAAATGCTTAAGAGGAGACGAGAGATGAAATTGTTAGCGTTTGTGGAACATTGGGAGTTGAAGCGGTTGGACAGCCAGGTGAAATGAATTCATCTAGCTTTTCTTTCAATAAATATAGGCTCTGTCATATTTCTTCATAAATTTAGTAAAAGGTTTGGGTGGGTTGGAAACCCACCCAAAATATTGTAGAATTTTAAGTTTGAAGAGATCTAGGACAAGCATTTTCTTAACCTTGTAAGATTTATAAACATATTTGAATATTTTTCTCGATTCTAGGAATATATTCATCAAGTTTTCTTTCAATTAAATACTCTGTCGTTTCTTTTCACAACAAATATATTGCAAAATTTGAAGCTGGAAGAGATCTAGGGGAAGTGTAAGATTTATAGATATAATTGAATGCATTCTCAGTTTTCATCATCTAGAATCTTTTGGTAATATTTTGTTTTATAATTTCTAGTCAAATCTAATTAATATGCAAATAATCTTCAGCCTTATGGAGATGCTGACTACCGTAATGTAACATGGCAACAAAATAATAACTTTGATTTCATAACAAATATTGATAACTTTGGAATTCCATAGACATGCTTTGAGGTTTTTCATATTCATTTACATATAAAAACCATACAGTTTGAACATTCCGTTTTCTTTGGCAGAACTGAAGTCATGATAACATGGGAAGAAATTCAAAATTTTTGAATCCATTCTTTAAGAAATTGATATAGCAATCTGATATATTTGATGTAGACCATTTGATATAAGATAAGTAGTTGACTATGTAAGGAATCATAAGAGTGGCTTGATGTTGAAATTGAAGTCATCTGTTTAGGTTTTGCATTGTATGGGATCTAAAGTTTGGCAATGAATGGAATAGCGTGTGGTTCGTAGAGGAGTTGTAAGCAAGTGAACATGCAAGCAAGTGAACTTGATTTGACAAGATGCATTAGTGGAGGAATCACAATGATAATGCAATTGGATGCACATAAAAGTACTGAAGTTGTTGGTTGTGAATGAGTGTGTCTAGAAATATAAAAGTTAGAAACTCACATCTTGCATGGTTGCATGTGGAGTGTTAGTAGGTCAACGGAGGCCTTAGGAACCATGTGGTGTGGGGATGGGGCCTTGTGTATAGATTGTGTCTTGACACATCGAAAGTGTGCAAGATATGATTGTTGATGTTACGAATGGGGTTAGACGCGGTTAAAAGCTTGTGGTGATTGATAGGGCATAATCGAGTGTCACATTCCTAATCACAATTGAGGAAGACTTATAACAAATGATGCAAATGATAAAAGCAAGAAGAAGAGTCAGTGTTAAAAGAAAAAAACACCTGAAAGAGGGGTGATAGCGGATAGAAGAGGTATATTCAACTTATTCATTATCAGTTGATTCAAATGCAGGCCATGAATACCCTATCTTATAGAAGCAAATCAAATAGAATTCAAATGTAATTTTATCTTAAATCTATTTCATGCAAATTTCAAACAAACTAACATCCAAAAGGATAATTTAATATAATTTCAATTAAATTAAAACAGTAATTTCTAATTTAAATGAAATGATTGAAAAATACCTTAAACATGTTTTTATGTCTGCATCTTGGGGTACCTCTAAAACTTGGGCCCTTTATTTCATGACACCTAGAACTTTTTTGTTATACTTTTATAACCCCATACTATTCACATTGTCCATTTGATAGGTTGAACTTTAAAAATACTAATGTTTGGTTTATTTTTGAACTGGTTTTGGTTTAAAGATTGATCTATATGTTATTAGTTTTTTTTTTTAAACTTATTTATGTAGGCAGGAGTTTGGCATTTCCAACGGATTAGGTGGTTCATTTAGCTCATAATATGGACCTTTTTAAGGCCTATGGCCAACCAATTTTAATGGGCCATAGCTAGCCCATGAACCCATTAGTCATGCAATTGTCGGCCACAGTAGCAAAACTCAAATTAAAATGATAATAAAGTTGATGGAAATATTGAATACACTACCTCTAATAAGAAGCTAAAATTCATTCCATTCTACTAACCAATCTCTAAATATATATATATATATATATATCAATTATATTGATAAATTGATACTTTCAAGTCGGTTGAAATCTAATTTTGATCAAGCTATCATAAACTCGAAATGAGTTTCAAACCTAACAACATTGTCTCTATCTTGTTTGATCTGACTAAAAAATCATACGAAGTTTGAATTTTGATTGTTTTTGTCAACTCTACATGGTCAAGTTGGTTTGGTCTTTTGATTGTTGATCTAAATTTGTTGTAAATTTTTTATATTCTAAACGAGCCTAAATTGGCCTTCTTAGCACAAAACCCATCATATATCCAGGCTTATGAAAGCACATGATGGGCATTGGGGGCTTAAGTTAAATTGGCTTAAACGAGGTTGAATTGCCTTCTTGACACCCTTAGTACAAGCAGCTATTTTAGTTATTGAAAAAAATAAGAAGAAATTAATTTATGCATCGAAGAAGAGAATTATGAAGAAATTCATAAACATTTTCCAGAAGAAGTGAGAGTGTGGTGGGGGATGTATTGGAATGCAAAAATAGGCAGCAAGTAGGGTTTGGCTGCTGTTCTTAGTTCATGGGATCATTCACTAGTCACTATTATGCTTCTACATCTTGTACTATCTGCAATTAACATATCCATGGCATCCTAAAAGTGGGTATGATGAAAGCATACCCTTCTAATTGCATTAGGCATGAAGCTTTTGAATGCTAGTTGTTGCAGCCGATTAGTTTTGACTAGGCAATTTTCAAGTCAGTATCATGCATCGTTGCTGCTGAATATTGCTAATTTATAGCCCCAACCATTAGGTTGAGTATTGTTATCTTTGGGATCATCTGTATGGTGGTGGTCAGAGGTTTGAATTTGCAAAAAAAAAAAAAAAAAAAATCTTTTGCTGAAAAAAAAAAAAAATCTCTTGCTGAACTTAAAAAATGCTCTTTCCTTTCAGAAAATTTATTGGTGTCTGAAGATGTGATCAAAGTGGCGGACTTTGGCCTAGCTCGTGAAATTTCGTCAAGGCCACCATTTACAGAATACGTCTCCACTCGTTGGTAATTGTTTCTGACTAAACATTAATTTTGTAATGCTTTTCTTCTTTGATTTTCACTAAATGTGGCAATTTTTTAATTCTGAAACATCTATCAGAGTTCTAGATTGCACGTGCACCTCCATGGTTTTATGCCCATAGCATTGCACTAGTGGAGCATGTTGTCTCCCTTAGTGAGAGTAGCAGTATCTCTATTTAATATAAAACTACAGATAACATTATCTAACGAAGCCAATGTTAGATTATTTTGTATATTTACGCAAATTACAATCCGATGCATCTTTGTACAGGTACCGAGCCCCTGAAGTTTTGCTGCAGTCTTCTGTATATGGCCCTGCAGTTGGTTAGTCTGTTGCTTTAGTGTATTCTGATGGGTCTACGTTCTTTTTGACACTCTTTTTTTGTAACTACAGATATATGGGCCATGGGTGCAATAATGGCAGAGCTGTTTAATCTCCGCCCTCTTTTTCCTGGCACAAAGTACTAAGTTTGTTCTTCCTTCAATTTTTCTGTATTTGTCAATAACTTTTTTTTTTTAAAAATTTTGTCATGAAGAATGATATCTTGTTTTAAGCTGGTATTCATTGTTTCTATGCTTGTAGGGATATCTGTATAAGCTGGAGTCCATTCTCTTAGCTAGATTTGTATGTTTTTACATGTGATCCAATGCTTCTGTGCTTTGATTTGAGAGCTCCAGATTGCTATATTTTTGTTTCTCTCCTTTGATTTCTGATAAAGTTAGAATTTAAAGGATTTTGGCTTCAACTGTTTTAACTTGCCCCCTCATGCTCACATTATTCAATATGTGCCATAATATTTGTGGCTTTGCAAATAAAGTTTTGTGAGTGTTTGTTGACTACGCAGCTTGCTGTTGTAGCCTGTTTTCATTTTCCACCTCATTGATTTTATTTGTAATGCATGGTAGGTGTGTCTTAGGCTTCGTTTGGGATGGCTTTTTTACTATTTTCTAAAACAACTTTCTAATGCAAAAAGATCTAGTTTAATAAATTTTTGTGCGAAAAAGCTGATTTAGGAAGCAATAAGAAAGCCGTCTCAAACGAAGCCTTAGTTTTTTAGCAGCTATTTGCCTTTTCTCCACCATTCTGACATTTTTAAACTTTAGATTTAGATTGAATAATATTATCATTACTAATATCTTCTTGCTACATCCATGCTCAATTATCCCAATATTTGTCCACATTTACCATGATTTTACTGCCTTTCGGATTGCACTAGTTAAGGTTTTGCTTAAGGCCTCTTGATATGCCATCTTTTGCTTATTGAAATAGTCATTGATGTTATATGAACCGTTGGTATCGTATTCTCTTTGCACCATGCAGTGAAGCAGATGAAATTCAAAAAATCTGCAGTGTGATTGGCTCTCCTTGTCAAAATTCCTGGGCTGAGGGACTACGCCTCGCAGATACAATAAAGTTTCAGTTTCCACAGGTATGTAAAAGGATCTGCTATGTTCATGGTTATATGCCCTATCCTTGTTTGAGTTGAATGAATTTTGTTCTTGGTACCTATTACATTCAGGAGCTGTAGTCCTGTTATTTTATGTGTTATACTGTTAAATTTAATCATGAAAGTTATAGCTTCTCAGCTTTGTAGAAGCTATAGGAGTGCAATTCTGGCATGGGATGCAGCTTGTGTAGGGTGGAATCTTATTTAGGAGTTGAGTATATCTTGGTAATGGAGATTTTTATGAAATTTTTGTTATAACGATCAAGCGGATGGTGCAAGCTATAGTTTACTACCAATATAAGATTCTTGAATGAAGTTTTAAGTTTATGACGAGATAAGGTAGTGGATGTTGTTTTTGTTTTGTAGTAATAGGGAGAACTTGACCTTAATATTTCATTTTGATAGCAGATTTATTTTGTTTTCCTTCATTGTAAACATTGCCAGACTAATTCATGATGCTTTCTGTAATTTTTGGGTTGCATTGTATTGGTCGACTTGAAATTTTTTTATTTTTATTGAATTAATCTTAATGGATCTTGGCCTTATCTACTATTAATTCATGTTAATCGTTGCATCTTCATGTATGTGTTAGGATTGGTATTCTGTTTTGCAATTAATTTTTGTGAGCATTTGAGTATATTTAGATATTTTTTCAAGTATTAGACTTTATTTCCTTGTATTACTTCATCTTATGTTGTACCTCATTGTGCTGATGTTTCTTTTATTTTGGTTCGGTCCAAGTATACGGGCATCCACCTCTCGATGTTGATCCCATCCGCCAGTGACTGTGCTATCAACCTCATCTCAGTATGTTTATTTTGGAGTATTTCTGTTCCTTTTCACAAAAGAAAAAAATAAACTGCAAATTGTGTAGCTAACTGTTTATCTAATATACTCCCATTAGCCCTAGCTTGACATTGTGTGCAAATGCAGTCACTTTGTTCATGGGATCCTCTCCGAAGGCCTACCGCTGCAAAGGCTCTTCAGCATCCGTTCTTTAAGGTAAGTAATATCAGGGTGTTCTCATTTTTTTATTTGCATGCCGTTACCATTTTACTGACGTTGGTTTGGTTGTCTTGATTCTTTTATGGAGCCTTGCTACTACATCCCACCATCTCTTCGTCTGCTTGACTCTGGAAATTCTAAGACACTTGTGTCCGGTTTGTTGCCTTTCTTATACCTCTTTCTAATTATTTTCAAAAGCCAGCTACTGGAATTTCTAACAGACGTCATAAACGGTTCTCTTTTCGTTATGAGAGCAGCTCCAGAACATTTGAGTGCGAGAAGGTGCTCTGTTGGAGCTTTAAACAATAAGCCTCCAAGTAATGTGCCATCACCAACTGCATGCACCTCTTTGAAGACGGGTATTTGTTTATTTTCTTGTCTATATAGTCGTGAAAATTTAATGTATTATTGATGTGCTTTCCTTGCAAATTCTCTTAATGTATATATTTTTTTCGTTCATATTTATTTGTGTTATGTTTCTCAGTCCTTAATACAGTTTTTTTTGATTTGGAAGAATTCTTTTCTGGCTTTTGTCTGTAGGTGCTGCCCAGAGGAAGATAGATATCCATCTGTATCAGGTGAGGGAGTTCAATCATTTATCTTGCAGTAGTTTGCTTACTGTAGGTTATATTTCTTATTCGATGATTGTCAAATTCCAGGATTATATTCCTTACGAAAATCGTGCAGTGCAACCACTGTATAGGCGACCAGCTTGGAATAATCCAGGTAAGTACATCAAACTATCAAGATACAAGTATTTGCAACTGATGAAGATTGGACCAAAATGTTGATGAAATTTGCTGGAATCAGTTGCAGATCTAAACTTAGATATCTGAAATGGTGTATCAATCTTTTGCTTTTGTGCTAACTTTTTTGCTCTTGGCTGTGGCAGGACACCTCGGCACAGTAGCACATGGGGCCTGGGATTTTAATGAGAACTTGGTGCATCCTATGGTAAGCTCAGGTGGAGTTGATGATATGACAGATAAGCTGGCAAAACTTGCCATGAATTCTGGTTCCCAGTCAGTGAGGCCGTCACCACCAGCATTGAAAGCTGGCAGATGGCATTCCAACACACGCTATCTTAACCGATCTTATGAGATACCCCCTGTTAGAGTTTATCCACGCAATGCTGTTGGCTGAAGAAACCTCCCCATTATTATGTTCGGATGTCGCACGCCCTTCGGTATCAGGCACTGGTTGCTGTAATAAGTGAGACTTTTATAATGCTGTTGCCTGTTTGAAGAATTTAATACTTTAATCTGCCCTGCTCTCTATGAGCTCCTTTTAAATAAGGAGAAGACAATACTGTTTGTGGTAAGAGGATATGTTGTGTCCTAGTTGTTTTTTATCAATTCACTCTGCTTTATTTTCGATGCCAAAAGCTGTCATGCAAATATTAAATTAACTGCAGTGTACATGTGGCATGCTTCATGTGTTGGTATTATATCTTTAATCTTGTTGCACTCGAGGGAACGGCGCCGCTGTCGGAGCTGGTGTCACAACTTGTGCTCGGGTAATTGGGGTCTTGAAATTGTATCAAATTTATGTAAGAAAATTTAAACATCGAATTTCATAGCAAAAGTTTTTTCAAATTGAAAGGAGCCAATTAAAACATTTATTTATGGACATTGTCTTCTTTTCTTTTGTAATTATAAAATATATAATTGCACAAATTAAAATAAAATTATGCACTTTTAATATAATATATAATTTTTGAGTTTATCCTTCCATTTCACACGAATTGTTTCCTCTCATAAATTTACATGAAAGGATTTATTTTTTGAAATCAGTTGCCAATTAAAAAGTAAGCTAAATAATCGAAAGACTAATTATATTTGTAAATTATAATAATTTAAGAATAAAAAAAATAGTATTCATCAGAGTTTTAAATAAATATAGATTTTTATTAATAATCAGATAATGTAGCCATTAATAAGTGCATAATAAGGGATTATTAGTTTTTTAAATTAGCGTATATCATATTATATCTTATAATACGACAATAACTTGATGTATCGTTTAAGTGTACATTTAAAATCGCAATATCTAGTCGTATTTTTTTTAACTAACCTTTGAGGTTAAACTGAATCTTTTTTCATTTTCGTGTGCAAGATTATGTTATGTTTACGTTAGAAAAAGATAGTGTGAGAATAGAAGGAATTGCATAGACCGGGCAATTGAAGGCAAGCGGGTGCAGTAGCTATTGACCACATGGGAGCGGCCGAGCGTGCGCGAGAGCAATCAAGTGCGCGATGCGCATGTGAGAGTAGGAGCTGAGGCCTATAGAATTACGAGAGCCCGGCCGCATGCACATGCGGTGGCGAAGCGGAGCAAGGTTGTCACGTACAAAGTTAAAGGCTGACTACGTGCGAAGGGCAAGGCTTCAAAGCCAAGAAGCTAAATTTTTTCTTCATTTTTATTTCTCAAGATACAAGAGGTATTCTCTCTTCTTCAATTCATGCTTCCTCAATCTTTTTTTTCCCTATGAAGATTTTAGGGTTCTTATAAAGGAAGTAGAGGGGGAAGAGGAAAATTGATATAAGCGCACAAAGGTGTATATATATATATATATATTCTAAATCTCATAAAATTTCAGAATTGAATAATAATAAATAAAAGATAAGAGAGAAATTATTTTAAGTCGCATGCATGCAAATTATTTTGAAATGTTAGTTTTTAAATGAAATAAAACATGTGAATTAATAAATCTTATAAAAGAAATGTTCTTTTATATAATTAATTCTAATTTTACCTGAAATAAAATATAAAGTATATGCATAATAAAAAACGTAGTAAGATCCTTTTTGATACATCTATATGTTTAAAAGTTTAGACTAGAGAGTCTAGGATGATTGGGGAACGTTTAAATTTAAGAAGAGAAAAATTCTTTTGGGAACGTTATGGCGCTATGCCTTGGAGCGAAGCAGCGGTTCCCTCTTTATTTGGGATGTTGAGTTGGAGGAGGGTTGCGGCGTTGTCCTCTCTGTATTAGAGTAGAGTTTGAGGGAGCATTGTGGCGTTGAAGAGGAGCATTGCAGCGCTGAGAACTCTTCGTCAATGAATGTCTAGGATAATTTAGAATATTCTATCCGAGCACTACGATGATGCACGCTAGCACCCAACGATACTAACCACTCAATCAAGTTATAAAAATCTAAACCCATTTCTTTCACTCCAATGCTTTAGGCTTGTCGGAGAAGAAAGAAGAAGAGGAAGAGAGGGAAAGAGAAGAGAAAGGAAGGAGAGGAATTCTATGGTCATGGCGCGAAACTGGTTTGTCGAGGTAGTTAGGAGAATTGTCTTGCTCGAGGTATACGTAGATTCCCAATATCCTATTTCTGATTTCAATTATAATATTGCATAAAAAATTATGGAATAAAAAATATTTTTTAATGAGTATTGCAAACATCTCATTGGATAATTTTTTGGTATATTATAGAATGTCTTATTCTATCATTTCAATTGTAAGAAATCTAGATTTCACTGGTTGGTTTTTCCTATAGAAAATTTTGAGTATTTCATGCTAAAACTGGCAATTCTGACATTGACTACAATTCATTAATAGTTTTAAAATGATGTTTTAAAGGTGTATTATAAATGATTTTTCAAATATCAAATGATAAGCATGTAAACAATTTATACATGCATCATCTCCTAAAATGTCGTGCATGTGTCAGTACATATATGTTCATATTCATGTTTAATGTCATATATACAGTTAATTATGTTAATCTATGCATGTGTAATCATGTTCGTATGATGGAAGTTCTTATGTAAGAAATGCTAAAGTGCATTGTAAGTTTTGTTATACATGTCCGAATATCTATTCTGTTATGCTTCTAATTTTGGGCCCATCTATCATGTGCAGATGCGGGAGGATATTTATGACTCAATCTATTTTATGTAGGTTTAGGAGGTTCAAGAGAGTTACAAGTGAAAGTGAAGTTATAAGAGAAATTAGGTTAGGTCAATTTCATTTGGCTTTTGTGACACCAAGCAACAAAAGAGATTTGGTTTCTTCAACCTCTTTGTCTTCCATCTAGGTGAGATCATGATATTATAATTTCCCCACTTATAAAAATTTCATCCTTTAAATTCACCTATAAGTTTTAGTTGAAGTACTATTTTGAATAAGATATTAATTCCTATGACTCTTTCAGGTAAAAATATAATCAGATTTTTATCTGTCAAAAAATAATTTTCATTAATCATTCCTATGACTCTTTCACTATGATTCATATTCCAAAGATAATCCTTTGTCTTTGATGCCACTTTTGCACGACTCAATCAGGAGGCTCGAATTATCGAAACGGAAAAAGACGGCTCGTCTGTAACTAACTATTTACAATACTTTCAAAGTACAACTAAAACCTTAAAATTTTAAAGTTAAAATGCTATAAATACATTTTTCTTGGTACTTCGCACATATGATACATGTTCTCTCCTCTTTAACTCTTTTAAGCTATTAGAAATAATATGTGAATGTCTTGCAAATATAAAGTGATCAGTCACGATTTTCAAAATATTTTTTGAAATAAAGTTACCAAATTCATTTTTAATGTGGAAGCAAAATTATAACTCAAGTCAAATGCTAAATATTTTTAGTTTTTTAATTTGTAGAAAAATTAATATTTTTATTCTTTTTATTTTCTGATTTTTATTTCCTTTTCAAAAAAATACTAAATCTCAATCAACCATAATTTGCAATAATCACCAAACTTAAACCCGATCGTAGAAAATAAATTTGCAAGAAAAATAAATTGCGAAAAAATGCAATTTAGATTTTTATAGTGGTTTGGTCAACTTGACCTACAATTACTCTCTGATGTCCTCCTATTCGGGTATTGCACCAAACTCTTAGTGACTCTCCTTCAGCCATCAAGCTAGGCAGAGAAGCCTTTATAAAATCACTTCCACCTATCTAGTACGTTGGAGAAGCCGAAATCCCTTTCACCCTCCTAGTGAGGTGGAGTAGCCCAAATCACTTTCACCTTCCTCGATAGTGCGGCGAAGTAGCCAGCGAGCATTTGACACCAAAGGTTTCTTGATGGAGTTTCCATTAAGACAAATGTTGATAGATGGACGAACCAATGTAGAAAATTTGGTCGGAGCAATCGTGTGAAAACTCTTTCTCACACTCCCTTGATTCCATAAGGATCTTCTCTCTCTCTCTCTCTCTCTCACACACACACACACACACATACACACACACAACTTCACCTCTCTCTCCCTTGCACAGCCTCTCTTCAAACTAGCACTTACAGAATACCCACACCCTTAGATTACCAAAAGATTTCTACAAAGTCTATTAAGAAAGCTTAAATAGCGAGCTTCCTAAAATTCTAATTTTTTAATTTCTCCATCTCTATTAGTACAATACTATGTATGAATTGTATGATATAATTAGTTCAAATATGCCATGTTAGTGCTATATGATGAATGGCAGTATATATGATCAATTCAAAACTTTTACTAATCATTCAATAATACAATTAGTTCAATCAAATCGTAGTTTGTATAGGATGAACTCTAGGAAGACAAAGAACCATCTCTATTGACCGTGCAGTATAAATCAATTCGTATCATACAATCTTAAATCTTAATTATCCTAGATTTGATTGATTAATCATACGAATCAAATTTGGAAAAAAATTGAAAATATCATATAATACGATTTGGTTCATATAGTAAAAATAAACTAATTTCCAAAATTCAAAACATTGCCTAATTTTAAGTGGTGGTAGAGACTTTTGATTATAATTGATCATCTTTTATGATTTGAGTCTTATAGTATGATCAATTCATTTTTATTTCAATTTTATTTTGTTTAATTTAAATACTTTAATTAATTTTTGATTATATAGATTATACAGTATGATCCATATCATCTAGTACAATCTTCAAAAAAATTAAAATATTTAATTTCACTCTCCTTGTCCGTGCACGATTGCTAAGCTAACATACTTTTTTTTGTATATATTGACTCAAGAAAAATAAAACTACATACTCTTTCTAACAAATCTAACTTATGCAACTCATTCTTGAGCTCTGATTTTCTATTGATCCTTGATGTATGATGAACGTGAAATGTTAATAGTATACACAAAAAATATATGCAATATAAAGAGAAGGTGAAACTAAATAAACAATAATAATATTTAATTATAAGTTTTAGAACGTGTAATGGGATTGCGAGTAGCAAGAGTTGGGTTAGAAGTGGAATTTCAAAGTTGAAAAATTTCTCTACAAGCATCTTGAGTCTAGCGTTAGCCATGACATCGAGCTCTCAGCAAAATTGACAAAACGAGGTTTTGGGCATATGCTGCAGCAATGGGAAGCGCCAGTACTGCAACAGGTTCTAGGTGAGGATATTTTGGATGAATATAGAAGATTCTCCAGGGGCGT